TTTGGAAAGCAAATGCGTCCTTGAAACCTAAATTACGTAATTACATTGAGTTCAAGAGTACCTTACAACCGGAGAAATATTTATCTTTAAATTGCAATCTGAAACTCGTCCGCATTTTTGCCTGTTTTCGTTGTGGGGTTTTACCACTTAAAATTGAAGAAGGTAGGCGCGAAGGTTTGCCTTCAACGGAAAGATTCTGTAAAGTATGTCGTGCTAATTTTGTTGAGGATGAATATCATTTTCTGTTGATTTGCCCAGCCTATAACACATTAAGACGAGAGTTAATCCCCCAACATTTTTCGTTCCAACCAAGCATGGATAAATTTCAAAGGCTTGTTCAAGCAACAAATGGTGTTATTCTACGAAATATTTGTGTGTTTGTGCACAGAGCATTTGAAGTTAGGAAACAATTGTTAACAAATTAATTATTATTTAATTCCATGTGATCATTAACCGAGAATATTATCATATTCTTCTTGTACCCGTTACATTTTAAGCATTGGTTTGATATGTTTGTATATGGGCCGGTGGCCTAGGAAAGCAATAAATACTTATTATTATATATTATCCGTCATCCGTTTTTGTGGCGGTTCTAACTATAACATATGCGAATGAGTCGATTTCGTACCCGTCTTAGCTATTCACATTGACCATTGTTGTCCGTCAATCTTTTAATTTTCAACGCCTCAACCATCAGCCAGATTATTTGGCACACACACAAAGAGGCATATTTTATGTGTACTTTGGATGGTTTTCACGGATTTGTCCATTTCATGACAAAATACATAGTTGACTCCCGTATGCGAAGTACACAATGGGAGTCTTTGGAGTTAGTGCGTCTGTATGTATGTGTGGGGGTGTATGTGTCTAGATCCGTCCCACTGAACCATATATATGTTGTTGTTGTTTTTTATAAAACTTGATATTTAGATGCTCTGGGCTGCTGTGCAGATTTGATTAGGTTTTGGTAAAAAATTATGCATACTAATAATTAGGTAATTTTTAGCTTTTCCATTTTTTCACTGATATCTAAGGAACCACTAATTGGATGTTGATACAAATTGGTACATAGATTATGTGGACTAATGCACAGATTTAATTGTTTTAGGTAAAAATGTAAGCATACAAAGTACCTAATTAGCATAATTAATCAATTTTCAGCTTTTTCATGAACATTTCAAGTACTTATCATCTTATTTCAATGAATCTTGTTATATGTATACTCTAAGACAATGCGATGATTTAATTAGGTTTGAGTATATATGCATTCATAAGAATTGTCCATGAATGGATAGTAATTGATTAATAAGTTCATTAGGGTAATCCACAAACATGTTTAACTTTATGTTGAAAAACATACATATTGATTATCTAAAAAAACAGATTTAAATTGAGGTGCTCTGGAATTAGTGTCATAAATTAGTTTTCGCGTATCTGTTGACCGACTTATTTAGCTGGTTATACAAGTGAATAGCTGTGTTATATCTATCATCATTTAGGCTCATGCGAGGTCCTGGACGGAACTTGACTCAGTGATTTGGAACTAATTACGATACGCCATCCGGACCGCTATTTCTGACAGTTGGGTATTCGCAGTTATTAATATAGTAAACGATTAATCAAAAGATATGACGTGTCCAGTACTTTGTGTGATTGGCTATGTGCATGAATGTGTGAAGGCCACGCCTTAGAGTCCCTAAACTTCTTTGTAATTGGTTAAGTTTTGATACGTAATAAACGGTCTAAGTCCTTGGTCCCAGAAAGAGCTCCACGAGGCGAGATAGTCTTGGTCAGTCCGGGGCAGAGTCTCCGATGAGACAGTTGCCTTGAGGCGTTCTCGATGTGGCTAAAGAGGCTAGCTATTGAAACGTATTTCGTTGTGTGCGTCTGTTTGACTGTAAAGCTTAAGTGACCTTCCCGGTTCGGTACCTCAAGAAGACGTGTATAGAGGCAGACGAGGATTTTCCCCCTGATATTAGACTGAAAACCACAGTTGTAAAATAAAATGTATTTTCTGTAATATTATAAATGTTGCTAATAAGGTTCAAATATTTTTCATGTTGTGCATCTCAAATAGCAGACAAATATTAGTTGCCAAGCTTCTTGTTTGAAAGGCTAATCTTAAATTTTGCAGGTTCGTGGGCACTAGAAATGAATTTTGTTTTTGCTCATTCTTACCCAGACAGTCATGGCTAGATAGAGTTATTGTCAATGTTGGAACATACTCAAAAATCGATTTTAAAATATAGAGAACCGAGGCACGCGTATGTGATTAAAAGTTCCGAAATGAGTTGCTAGCCTCAGTTACGATGCGGCGATGTGTTACGACCCTGTTTAACTTACCTCAAGTCTTGCAAACTACAAAAAAACAGACAAGACGTAGACGTTTCCAGCATGCAAGTGGAATACAAAAAACATACAGTTGTAAATGATAAGTAAACTTGTTCACGCTCATCTCGCAACATGTTGACAACTTCTAGCCTGGCATCTTCCAGTGGTGTACTGTTAACTATTTTTTTTTCTCCGAAGTCATAAAACTGACTAATTATACATGTTTCGTTTTGCCGAACAATCACCGTGCTGATAGCATTGCGATGCAATGGATAAACACCATTGCTGTGCTGTCATCGATAACTAACTTTTCAGTGGCAAAATACACAAACGTAAAATGCTCGGTTTATTAAAAATAAAAAGTACCCCGGAAATTACAGAAACATAGGCAACGAGATGCTGTTTTTAAACACCACGGAAAAATCATGCCCTCTGCGATGCCATCTTGGTTACTTTAATCGGTAACCCTGTTGCCAGCTAGCATGTATCTGTAGCGGTGTCGCAAAGTACGTTGTACGGCCGTGCTAGGCAACCTCTGGTATAAGGCACTCTATATGAATGAGGTATTTCCAGAGGTCAGGGTTCGTTTTAATTTGTATCGACCGTTCCGTCTCAACCCAGCCAATGACGATCGCTATGTTTATATAACTGTATGAATATCTCATCGGCTTTACGTAATCCATTGTGTCCCTCCCTAAGTGGAAATGATAACACGGCGCCATGACAGTTTTCACGCAAGGTTTTGACACCGCGGACGATTTTACGTCCGTTTCCCTGGTATTGTAAATATTTTTATTTTATATTTTTATCTGACGATTGAACATCAGCAAGCGTCGGTGTGTGATGGATTTTGACATGTCGTCGTGATGCAATAGCCATTTTTTGTGGACGATTAACGTCACTTTCATAAAACAGGCATTATCTCCGTTCCCGTTTTCTGGTTGGTCAGAGAGATCTTTCGCACTCGGGAGTTCTTTCTAAGCTTTCTTTTGTAACGAATATGTTTGTGAATGGATCGCCAGCCACATTGCGTTGACATTTCTCATGTTTGTGTATCAGATGCAACTCAATTAGATCATGTGTATCTGGAATAATCCAGAGATCTGATTAATGTTTGTTAAATATATAATTTGTATAATTAGCAATTGTTGATTGTCCACGTTTATATCTAGAATCGCTCTTTGATTGAACTCATTGCCGCACAAACTTAGATTCCTTGCAGTATTGTATATCATCTGTAATACAGACGACGATTAACAAGATATATGCAGCAATATTACATTGCTCAAATTATAAATAAATAATTTGTATATTTTAGATTTTCATCACTGGAAAGAACCTGACACCGGAACAATTAATGGTCCTTGGAAAGGGTGGTGCAATTATTAAGGTGGGTACCATAGACTACTATACCAACTTTAATATATGAGCAAAGGAACGAAATGTTTCGTTTTTATCTTCTACACCGAGTAGAACCTGACATATATCTTAGTTTTTTTACTCACTGGTTTGAAACTTTTATTATTCCCAGCTGTCAGGTGATGCATTGTCAAGTGTCAAACGATCGAAGAAGGTCATAGACGATATATTGGAAGACGTCAACAAAGGTACAACTTGCTTGTATTTTGTAATTATGAGATTTTGTTAAATTTATATTATATAATATTATATTATATTATATTATATTATATTATATTATATTATATTATATTATATTATATTATATTATATTTTATTTTATTTTATTTTATTTTCAAGTAATATATGGCGTAAACACTGGATTTGGAGAGCTGAAATCAGAAGTAATCCCAAGAGACAAACTTTGGTAAGAAAATGATTGATGGAAAGCATACAGATACATATAAATACCTAACATCATTATAAGTCTGCGAGGGAACTTTATTGACACAATGAAATCATTGTGTCATTCAATTCATCTTAATACTTAATGCTAAGTTCACGTTACGACCCCCACCCTTGTCTTTTAAATATATCAGAAATGTCTGCTCTACGTTGCAGTGAGCTACAAGAAAACCTTATCCGATCACATGCATCTGGAGTAGGAGAGCCGCTGAGTCCTCAAAAGACACGTATGTTGATGGCGATTCGAATCAATGTACTGGCCAGAGGAAACAGCGGAATATCTGTTGAAACATTGGAACGTTTCATAGACGCTTTCAATGGTGAGTTCCAAACTTTTTAAAAACTGACAATTTTAAAATTAAATATAAATTGTTACTATGACTTTAACATGTTTGTGTTTCGTTGTATTTTAAGCATCATGTTTATCGTACGTACCTGAAAAGGGCACAGTTGGTGCTTGTGGTGACCTGGCACCGTTGGCACATCTGTCTCTAGGAATGATGGGAGAAGGAGACATGTGGAACCCAGATACACAACAGTTTGGTGAAGCAAAGGAGGTATGAAGTTTTTTATATTGAACTGACCCAATTATTGTATTATGGATAATAATTACAGAAACTTTGCCTTTATAACTACAAATGTCTTAACCACAATAGCAATCTACAAGAGTCCAGGTTAACCGTGATAGCCATCTGTAAAGGTCCAGGTTAACCATGATAGCCATATGTAAAGGTCCTGGTTAACCAATGATAACTATCTTTAAAGGTCCAGGTTAACCATGACAACCATCTAAAAAGGTCCAGGTTAGAAATGATAAACATTTTTAAAGGTCTTGGTCAATCGTGATAACCATCTGTAAAGGTCTGGCTAACAATGATAACCATGACATCCGTCTGTAAAGATCCAGGTTAACCTCAATAACCTTTTCACAAAATTATCTATAATAATCATTTCCATTAAGGGTTTTCATCAAAGTAGTTGCACAATTGATTACATTTACTATTTGTTCTGATAGGTACTGGAATCGCATGGACTGAAGGCGATAGAACTTGGCCCCAAAGAGGTAAAACATTTCTTGCCATGCTGTTTGTATGTTCATTTTGTTCTCATAAACAGCACGTTATTAGATTCAAATTACAAGTCTACGTATACGTAACACCTAATGTTCACGCCAGGAGTTTTATATTTCTTCACAGGGTTTAAGTCTCATCAATGGTGCCCAGTTGATAACAGCCATTGGAACATTAGGTTCGTTACTCATAATGTATTAATACATACGATTGCATATCCAGTGTCTTTCATAAATCGGTGTCGTTAAAGAGTGTTCTATCTCATACTGAACTATGTCGATCTTCAGTATGTGTGTTATTGTTTTCAGCTTTAGAAAAAGCGAAAGCTATTTCCAGACAAGCCGATGTAGTTGCAGCCATAACTTTGGATGTGTTCCAAGGAACCGACGCTGCTTTTGACGCCGGTAAGTGGAATCACGATTAACACTTTATGTGTAATTTTACACGGCCTGGAATGGTTTCTTCAATCAGACAATGTGACGATTGTTGTGTAATAGTATGTATGTGAATGTAAAAATTTAAAGAAAACACACTACTCAAAAAGCAGTCTCCGTGACACCAATTAGATTGTGCATGCTAATCTATGATCCAAGTGAAACATTACTGGTGAATTTATTTGTTTGGACTGGTTCACATGAATATTTCTGTAAAAGAAAAAAAAAATTTTGAGGTTTTTATGTCATATTTTAAAGAATCTTTGCGTGTGAAAATTACATTGTAATAGAAGGTACGACATCTTAGGAAGCGCGGCCCCAGACTGCTATATCTGAGATAATTTTATTGTAAGACAACTATACAGATGTAATTTCGAGTAGAAAGCACCCAATTACAAGTTTTTTAAAAACGAATAGTAGATAGCAGAGAGTACATATACAATTTTTGAGTGAATTTTGTTTTTGTGTTTTGTGCATTATTAAATATTGTCTTTCAAATTTGAAATTAAAAAGCCATTAACAGGAAGCAATAGTTAAACAAATAGTTCGCCAATAAACATTTTCAGTCAATATATTTAAGACTGGAAAACCTTTAAACTAAATGAAATCTGACCAATAAATGAATGCACACAACCCAAAATATATACACTGTTAATTAGAAATGCCTGCAAATTTCAGTGTCGCGTTTCTAGCTGATGATGAACTTCATTTAACTATACGTTGTATATACAGATATCCATGCAGCAAGACCACATGCTGGTCAAGTGAAAGTAGCACGCAGATTTAGATCGCTCATCAATTCCGAGGTGTTCCCTTCCGAGATATTTGAGCATTATGAGTCACACAAGAAGGTTCAGGACAACTATTCGCTCAGATGTATCCCACAGGTATATTTGACCGCATGTTTGCGCTACTCACAAAAGTCTGTGAGAACAATTTATGGGAAATAGTATCTATTGCTCTTCAGAGGACTATCTAACACTGAAATCACAAGCACTG